CAGTGAGTTCAGACCCATGCCCTTCTTTAGCCTTTCCCATAAACTCTCCAGGCCATCCCCCTCAACCTCTAACTTATCTGCATTACCCTTCAGCATGCTTAACTGCAGTGATTGAAGGGAACAAACTAGGCACCTTGATCCTTGTTCAATCCCAGAAAAAACAGTTTATTGAAAAAGGAGGTGTGTTTTCCACCTCCTCACTGTTATTTGTGACTTGGTTTTAAAGTGGAACGACTGTGTTACAAAATAAATGCTTTAATGAGATTTGTTACATGAAGTGGAAGGAATGGAATCAGTTCCTCCCTTCCAAATGTTTGCTCCCAGACCCTAGGGTCACCAGGGGGGGAAGACCGTGAGAAGTTGTTCCTAATGTTTCTAGCTGACCTCGGGTAAGGATACTCCAGGAGTGTTCTTGTCTTGATACAGACTGGGGAGTATCTGTATGGTGTCCTGGGCCCCTATCCCTCTCCTTACACTGTACTTGCCCCACTGGCCTGAGGGATCAAGATGATGGAAGATGAGGAGGGAAAGGTGTTGGAGGGTGAGGAAGCAATGACCTAATGCCTTGTGCAACCACTGCTTACAGTCCCTGGCAGAAGGGGGAAGGAGTTGTCCTGGGGCTTCCCATACCTTCAAGTCAGCTAGGGGCACCAGCAGGTGGGTCCTTCCTTCCTCAATCCAAAGCATACATGGCCTCATGGAAATAAATTGTCCAGCAGGTGCCCTTCACTATGGAAGGGGAAGTGGTGCAAGCTATTTACTACTCCCCTGCCCACAGATTCACCCCTAGTGGTGGAGCAAGTATAGCTTCCTCAGGCAACAAAGCAATAGGGATGTGAGAAATGTGCTGTATTTGATTTGAATTTGGCCCAAATCGGGAACAGTGATTCAATTAGTTGATTCGGATCACTGTCCCTGATTCAATTTGGCTGAATCAAAATCTGAAAAGTCAATGCTGAGTCGGAAAATCAGAGATTCAGCCATAGACACAGCTTTAAATGTTTTTTTCTACATACCCCGAAGTACCAAGCGCATTTCGTGAACACTGCAATGCTGGGGTGGATGGAGCGTCCCACAGGAGCGCAGGGGTGGGGGGCACATGCTTGGGAGCAAACCCAGAAGTGAGCCGGAAATACTCCTGGTTCATTTCTGGTTCCACCAGGGAGTGCACAGGGGGGCCCCTTGTGCACACACCCCCCCGGCTCAGCGATCGGCTGCAGAGGGACCTCGGGTGCCCCCCCACACACAGATCCAGGAGGCACTAGTCACTGAGGTGGGGGGGGGGGTTGGGAGCCCCTGCAAGCTCTCCCAGGAAGACCCAGAGGTGGACTGGAAGTGCTCCTGATCCACTTCCAGGTCTGCTGCCAAATATGCTGTAAACTCCCCCCACCTGCCATGCTCCTCTGGGACGTTCCATCTGCCCCAGCATCGCACTGTTCACGAGCCACCTGGTACCTTGAGGCACGTGGAAAAAACATTTAAAGCTGTGTCTATGTCTGACATGCTAAATCTTTTGGAATCTCTCCGAATCTATTTGGAGGGTTCCAATTCTATTCAGAGGGATTAAAGGATCTCCTGATTCGATTTGGATTTGGAGATTCAGCCACCAAAGCAGGCCGAATCTCTGCCGAATCAAATTTGGGAATGAAGCTATGCACAGCCCTAGAAAGCAATACAGGGCATGAACCATATTGGTGACTCCCTGTCCCTCCTCCAACTGCTGGCCATCCAGATGCACTGTGTAGAGTCAGAAGTGGATCTGGACTCAGACAACAATGGCCATAGCCCCACCATTCTCCCCACCACATGGTCAGTATCCTATCCAGCCATCTCCCACAACTTATCTAGTACTCCAGAGAACCCATCCCAGAGCAGTATGGATCCTGGGGGTGGGAAGTGGAATGTCCTGAAGCCCACCCTCATCCACCAAGCCAAAGTTGTACAGCAACCCCGCCATCAACCCACCCATCTCTAGGTGCCCTAATTAACTCAACTTCCTTTACTGTGTGCATCTTAGTCCATGGCCAATGATGTGAGCAACTGCAGAATTGATTGGACCATGGAGGAGGTAATGGACCTCATCACCACTTGAGGAGGAGGAGGTAATGGACCTCATCACCATTTGAGGAAAGGTGGAAAAAAGGCAGACTCTCTGTTTAATCCACGACAACCAGGCAGTCTTCAAGCGAAAATGGTGACTCATGGACGTAACTATGACTGGGTCCAGTAGTGCTTCAAACATTAGGTTCTGAGTCAGTAGTTCACAAGGCAAGGGGATGGCAACTGTACTTTGGGCATGTTGCTACTCTTTATGGCCAATAGATTACCTTGCTGTGCCTCTGACATACTAAGCACTCCTAAACCTGACTCCAGGTTCTAAACCACTGAACTGAACCCTCCTGCCTAATCCTGGTAGCTTCTGTTTCTGATTGTTTCAGTTCTTGTTTTTGACCCCATGGATTGGATCAACTGCTTACCCTAATCATGACGTGGTCTTGACCAATGGCTTTCTATCCCAGAGTTAGACTGATACTCAGATTCACATAGGATAATACTCCAGTAACTCCCTGGACACACAGAGATCCACATCTACGTTTTCTGGCATGGCTGAAAATGGCAGGCCACAGTGGTAGTGGTGGCATGCCAGGCAGTACAGAGTACAAGTTGTGGCAAGAAAGTTTCTCCCACAGTGAGTGTGCCAGCAGTTCTGACCCAGCCAAAAACTCACTAGGCACTTTGCTCGGTTCTGTGGAATTACCAAAACACATTGGACATCTGACTGTTGCTGATATTAGTGCCCCCACTGACCACCTGCTGGCAAAGAAACAGTGATGCGTTCAGCTGTTTAAGGAGCCATGATTTAAAGAAAGATGTATGCAGGACAACCTATCACCTTATAAAAAAATATGTTTGAAGAGCTATGTCTTAGCAAACTTGCTCAAAGGACCTCTAATTTGGTTTCCTGAACCTACCCTGGAGCTCCAGCAGGTGATTTTATAGACCTGAAAGCAGGGCACCCTAACCTTAACTATAGCCAAGCTTGTGCTCCATTGTTATGAATGATCGTCAGTATTGATGCCATAGAAAGCAACAGAATATTCATGGCCATGGTTTTTGGATTGAATTATTCACTGGGCATCTGTGCTCCCTGATCTGCATGAAACAACTGCATCCCAAAGAATAAGTCATGCCATAAAAGCCACTTGAATCCTTTAACCTTGTTCTTCCAATGGTATTGGGACTCTGAGGTTGTCACTGTCACTCATGTGGAACAGCACCTTATCTTATGACAGGTCTTGTGGACATAAATGGTGCTGGTCCCAGAGAACCGGGCTGTTCCATGTAAGAACAAGAGGCAAAACTGGGCTTTTCCATTGCTTTTCTGGACAGGACATAAAACCCAAAAAGTGCATCTTTCACTCAAACTGCTAAGCTGAGGCTTAACTGATGCTCTCATGATTATGCCTGGGTTTGGGTGACCAGGAAAGGGGTTCAGATATGGGGTAGGAGTGGTCATTCTAATCACTCCTCACGTTTTGGCTCAACATACATACAAGAGGGTTATGCGACCTTAATAAGGGTAGTGTCAATTTATTTTTTTTCAAGTTGCCCCAGAGATAAAGGCCTGTAATTTAATTAAAAGTCTTGGATTCTTAGAAGTTCAGCTAGTGCTGGTATGGACCTGTTAGTGGTCTGTATTTTGTATTGATTTAGCCCTTCAAAATGATGTTTGGTGGATCAGCTAACAGTAAACAGGTCTTCATTTTATTTAGTCCCACTGGGTATTATTATCCTTGCAAAAGACAGGGAATGAAATTCAGTTGTAGACATGTTTCATGGCAAAAGATTAAAATTCAATGGATTCACTCTTGTTGCAGCACTGCTATCAACTCAGTTATACCCTAGATGAGTTTAACTCATCACAATAAATGTTCAAAGAGAAAAAGGACTCATGGGCTTCTCACTGGTGGTTAAAACATGAAAAAAAAATGATGCTTTAACATAAACAAAAACAGGCCAACACTCAGCTCCATCATTTCCAAAATAATACCTATGGGGATAGACATGCAACACTGTTACATTGATGGAAATGGGGAGTGACCACAGAGTGCACTGTCCTTCAATGAGGGAGGTCTATCCTCTGTGATCCAGTTACAGTTAGGCAGAAGGTCTGCTGAGTTGGGCAGGCATATGGCTTTGTCCCATCAAACAGGGTAGAGGCACAATTATGAAGATTGCACTAAGGAAAGCTATGCTGCCTGTTTTGAAGGTAAAGTAGAAGGCTCGTTGCCTGCAGCTTTTCCATTGCACAAAGCAAATTTATGCAAATTCTAGCCACACATTGTGGGCTAAGTGGGCTATCAGAAAACTATCTGACACATGGTGTTGGCATTTCATTCTTCTAGTCACCTCTGCCACTGGCAATACTACAGTACTTGGACACCCAGAAGGTGCCAAGGCCACCTCAGTTTCAAGGCACTGTAACTAGGTGTAAGGAAGTGTTAACATCTGGACAAAGGCTATGGGCCAGTTCTCAGTAACAAGGCAGGAGACCTTAGGGAGGTGTGGATGGGTGAGGGTAGTATGTTCTCCATTAAATCATCTGGAGTGGTGCCTCCAACTTTAGATACAAGTCTTTGGCAAAGAGCAAATGCTATTTGTATGATTTTACAAAAAGCTGCTTAACTTACCCATGGGTCTTTTAAACAGTTTATGTACCAGCCATTGCAGTAAGTATGCTTAGCATGTAAAGACCTAAATTTCCTTTCACACAATGGGGGCTAGATACTGAGGCATTACAGAAACTGCTCCTAAGCCTCCATTTGAATTGCATTGACCTTTAAAAACTCTTCCTTATAAGCACAAAGAAAAGAAGGGCTCACCCTTGGTTCACTGGTGGTTGCGAACCAGTTGTAAGAAGAATAGAGCCTGTTATTCAGATGCTGTGCTGTTAAAAAAATACCAGGTACTGGCCACAAAGCAGAGTGACAGCTAGCTCATTAGAGAAGAATGGACACCTGGTCAGTGAAGAACAGACAGTGAGCCAGTTTCCTCATAGCCGCAAGAATCTCCTTGTTCCTCATGCTGTAGATAATAGGATTCATCATGGGGGGCACTACTGAATATATGGCAGCTGCTATGAGGTCCACTCCCGATGGGGAATGGGAGGTAGGTTTGAAGTAGGCAAATGTGCCAGAAAAGATAAACAAGGAGACCACAATGAGGTGAGGGAGGCACGTAGAAAAGGCTTTATGCCGGCCCTGGTCTGAGGGGATTCTCAGGACTGCACTGAAGATCTGAATATAGGACGCAACAATCAGAATAAAACAGGACAGAATTAAGCAGAAACTGATAAACATCATAAACAGTTCCCTGAAATATGTGTCCGAACAGGAGAGCTTAAGGAGCTGGGGGATTTCACAGAAGAACAAGTCCACTACATTGCCTTGGCAAAAAGTGAATGCAAACATGTTCCAAGTGTGCATGATAGAATTGAGCATCCCTGCTACCCAGGCACTGGATGCCATCTGGACACATGCTCTTCTGTTCATGACCATCTCATAGTGCAAGGGCTTGCAGATGGCAACATAGCGGTCATATGCCATGACGGTGAGTATACAAAGATCTGCTCCCACCAAGAAGCCAAAGAAAAACACTTGAGTGGCACACCCACCATAGGATATTGTTGTGATGTTCAACAGGGAGTTGGCCATGGTTTTGGGGAGAATGACAGAAATGGTTCCCACATCCAGTATGGACAGATTCATCAAGAAGAAATGCATAGGGTTGTGAAGACGGTGGTCAAGGACTACAGCCACAATGATGAGAAGGTTCCCCATCAGGGCAGTGATGTAAATGACTAGAAACATGACAAAATAGAAAATCTGCAACTCCCAAGCATCAGAGAATCTCAGGAGGATGAAGTCAGACACAGAGCTTTGATTTAACAATATCTTTCTTGCACCATTTGTGGGCTGCCTGTAGAGGGAATGACAGATACAAAAATCATGAGTTAGAATCACCATATGATTGTCCATCTGAAAAACCTACTGAATCTCCTAGCGACAGAACTTCCTCTTATATTATTCAGTTGTTTGCATTATACTCCTGCTGATTTCCATCAGAAGGAATTGCGGTGCTTTTAGGAGTTAGTCTTGGCTAACTGGAGGAGTTAAGAGAAGGGCAAAGCAGCTACATTTTGCTTAATGAACATCCTACCAACTAACACACAACCAAAGGAGGATTATTTGGACCCAATGACACAAGAGCATTTACATCTATGGGAATTTCCAGGAGCAGCAGGACCATTCACTTTGGAGGGCAGGAAAGATCTGTATGGAGAGAAGGGAAGTACACTCTCCACATTTCACAAGAAGAAAACCACAGTACCTGTGACCAGATCCTGATCTGGTCTTTTTTATTGACACCATTTCCTGCTGGCCTACATCACATCACATTGCATCACATGAAACTGGTAAAAAGACATTCTGAAGTGGCCAGAGTGAAACAGGAAACACATTTCTCTTTCTCCCTCTCTGTTGCTGTTTACTTTAATTTCTCTTTTCACTGTTCAAAGTTAGTTCCTTGCTTCAGGTGTCTAACTCTCTCTGGTTACTTTTCAGTGCCTGTCCTTTTTCTCTTCTTGCTCTGCCTTTTGTTTTTTATGATAACACCTGCCTTGCACTACCTTAGGACTGCCATGCTTGGGGGTCCTCAAACCAATGGATTCCACATAAAAGGATGATGTGCAAGGGAATGGAACTACAAAGTAGCTTTAGTTTTATTGTTTTCAGTCCACTTTGGACTGGAGGGAAGGCAAAGTTGAATGAAGTCACTATATTGTGAATGAAAGGGCAAAATCCTTTTTCATTAGTGGCCAAAGTGACACTTAGAGATGCCTCTAACTCCATTTCTTCCTGTATGTCCCTAAAGGGCATGTTCAGTAGGATGCACTACACCCACATGGAAACCCCAGCAAAACAGAATGACCCTGCACATGGATCATAATTTGACTATCAAGTATTTGATCTTCCTCTTAGCCCACAATGTTAGTCTTTATGCCACTTACTCAGTTAGCAAAACAAAGTGGGATATAGGTCTCCCCCACCTGAGAAGATTTGACACTGCATCTGCCACTATGCAGCCAACTGTTCTAATAACCAAGTGCTATAAGTATCATCCCAGTCTTTAAAAGTGAAATGAGGTTTGATCCAAAGTACATATAGATGGATCTAATGAAATCCAATTGAACAGTTTTCAAGATAGATAGATAGATAGATAAACAGACAAACAGACAGATAGACAGAGAGATTAAAGTTGCAGCAGAGAAACTTAGATTACATATTAGGAAAAACTTTTTTCACTTGGAGGGTAGCAAAGCACTGAAACTGCCCACCCAGAGAGGTTGTGGAATCTCCTTACTTAGTGGTTTTTAAAACCATGATAGAGAAAGCCTTAGCTTGGATGATATAGTTGAGGATGGTCCTGCTTTGAGCAATGAGATGACCTCCTGACATACCTTCCAACCCTAATTTTCTATGATTATATATAGACAGAAAAACAGTGTGACAGACAGACATATTGAAAATCTATACTCTAGCAGTTTTCCTCCACATACTCCTTGCTCTCTTCATCTGTTTCTCAACTGCACTATAATGCATAGCCAAGTTATTTCTGCTCACCAGAGGACTGACCTGGATTTTACAATATCCCACATACTTTCTAACCCAGGTTTTCAGCATTTAAGAATGGTGTAGCTGTTCTTCTTTAGACTTCTTAATCCATTATAAACATCTCTAAATTAATCTTTGATATTACTATGTCTTTCAAAGAGACAGAAATGGCACACAAACTTTCTACCTTCGTTTTCTAAAAGTAACTAGTGCCTTAGCCCATCTCATGGGTTCTTTACACAGAACTCCCCAAAGTAACAAATTCCTTATCCAGCAAAGTGGGGAAGTGCAAGAGGATTTGCCCGGTTTATTTAAATCCAAGACAGAACTCCTGTAGTCTCAACTGAAGTATCCTTAATTTATTGTAGCTAATTCCACATTAGCCAGGAAGCAAGCCAAATGGAAATTGTCCATTTGAGGGTTTAATGAAGTTCAGCTGAACCAGCTGAAAACTTAAATAAGACTTGGAAGCCACCAGAGTGTCACAGGTAGACAAGCCCTCAATTTTCACAATTTAAAATTAATCTGGCAACAAAAATCTGGAAAGAATATATACTGCTCATGAATGGTTGGTCCTGAAACCAGCCTTAGGATCAGAGGGTTATAAGAAAGTTGTGACTGTGAGGTCATCGGTCTCCTCAAGTTAGGATATCCTGACTAAAGCCTCTCAGCCATAAGGGACTGTCTCTACTCTACTGGCTCAATGGGATTATATATCCCATAATATATCTCCAAAACCAGAAATAAACTTACTGCATTTATTCTGGATAACTCCGTGTTGTGATGTCTTTCTGCTTAAAAATCCAAAGTTCTTTGAATTAATCTTTCTGTTCGACTCTGTCTGTCTATGTATTTAAAGATATTTATATGACGCCCTATCTCTCTGTCTCCTCCTATTCGCTCTACCTATTCTCCCTAATTATGTACATAGTAATCTGTCTTCAGGGGTCATTTTAAAGTGCATCTGCTAGAACTATTCTGAGATTACTTGCTGACTGCACATGATTTGTGGAGGTAAGCTCTGTGCAAGCTAGAGTGTTTATCAATGTTTCATCCAATGAGCTTCCAGCTAAGCATCCCCCTGAGTCCTGGACAAAGGTACATGAGGCACCTGGCAAGGAGCCAGGAGTAGAGTTGGTTGCAAAACCTTCTAATGAGACAGTATTGTGCCCCCAAAAGCTGGTTGGTCATTCCTCATTTATTCTGCTTGAAACACTTGGGGTCCAAGGCATTCCAGTATCCAACAGGGTTCCCACACACCTTGAGGCCCCCATACTCTTGGTCACACAAGCCAAGTGCAGTGCTCTGGATACAAGGGCCCCCAGGTCCTTGGCCACACAATAGTAGACTGCCTAAGAGCACGGAATATGGTGTTCCCATGATGACAAATTCTCCAAAACAGATACTCCTTTATATCACTATCCCCAAGTCTAAAGACTCCACCCTAATGAACACTGTGCTCAACTCCCTTTTTCTAGCTGCAATGATTCAACCCAGCAATCATGGCCTTCCTTATTGTCACTATATGTCTGTTATATTGCCACCTTCATCCTTCTGCTCCAAAGAGTGCTAGAGTGAAAAGAGAGGTATATACCTTCATGCACCATCCATCTTTGGGTCATCAATGGTCCTTGGAGATACAGTTAGTTTATCTTTCTGCCAGTTTTTACTAGTAGTTCTACCAGTCAGTCTTCTAGGATGTTCCCAGGTGAAAAAGACCTCCTGCCCTTCTACTGCTTTCCCATATAAGCAACTGCTGCACAACACCTGATTGTGTGGGTGTGTGCATCTACCATGCACACTTTGGTTTTTCTTCCTAGAGGGGTTGAGTGTCTCCTTGCCTGGGGGATTATAATCCATGTTTTATTGCCATCGTTTAGGGGTGTTTGGGGCAATAAGCTATAAACAACTGCTGAGACACAAGAGGTCCACCACCCATAATGCGCCCCTTTACCAACCAAGTTTCCCCTCAGAGATTCAATGGCTCCTGCTGAGCCTGGCAGCCAGGTGGCTGGTGAACCAAAGGTGCTTCTGCTTCAAGGTTTTGATGGCAGTGGTGGTAATGAAGGATACCTAATTCCACAGATTGGTCTAGAGCCTGGCGATGAGGGCACTCTCCTGAGACACACACACAATATGGTCTTGCAGTTGTGCTCAGACTGGTCATGTTCTTAAAACAGAAGGTTCTCATGCCAAGGGTGGTTGACAAAGCCCACTACCATAGTAATAACAGGTACCTAAACTCAGAGAAAAAACTGGATTCTCTGAATCCTGAGCACATGAAGGTGTCCATCCTCCCAGAGAGACTGTGAATTGAGACCAATATCCCTCTTCAGCAATTCCCTTATACATTTCTAAGCAGTTTCCTCTCAGCCTCTCACCTCTCTTAATTAGCCTTCAACATGCCTAACTGCAAATAGCCAAAAAAAGAAAAACTAGGCACCTCCATTCTCCCATTTTTGTCCAGGTGTTTCCTTTTTAGATGTTAGAATGCCTCAAGTGCCTCTCTGGATTTACCCCTAAGTGACTTCAGACCACCATCTGCATTAACTTTCAGTTGAAAGTTCTACATTACAGCATTACCTTTGAAAGTCCCACCTAGTAGGTTCATAATTCACTCTAATTTAGCCAGAGAAATCATTATAGACCTGCCTGAGTTGGCCTTTTTGACTCTATATTAGCTCAGATTATCCCAGTTCCATTCACTAAAGGCAAAGCTTGGTTTTCATTACACTGACTGTGAGACATAAGCTTCCTTATCCCTTTCCTCAGTGCCTCCTTTGCCTCTTTGTCCCTCACACTGTCAATTATAGAATCAGAGAGAAGTAGGGCCTGAAGGAACTTCCAGAGGTCCTCGAATCCAACCCCCTGCTTACGCAGGATCAGCCCTTTTCAAATACTTATTTTCAAATCCATAGCCTAGGCTTCTTCTA